ACAGCCAAGCGCGTGTTCCTCGTGCGGGCAGCGCGTGCAATTCCAAGCATAGGCCAGGTCTATTATCCCCCGTACTGACACCAGTCGTGACGTCTTTTTTTTTTAACCTTTTTTTTTTTCTTTTCTGAAAATAGCGAGAGTGCGCGTGCACAGGTTTGACAGGCGCTGAAAATGCCTGAGAGCAGAGATTCCGAAAACTGATTTTATGGCGTAACGCTCCGGGAAGGAGAGGATTTAGCGGTACTTTGAAACTAATTTTCTGAAGTCTCTTAATGCACCAAATTAAAAGAAAAAAAAAAAAAACTCGACATCGCGATGCTGGAGGTCAGATAAAGACGATTTAAGTGATTTTACTCAAATACAGAACCGCTGCAGTTTTTTTTAAGTACATCGTGGCAACAAACACCGTGATGGTGCCTTTTGACACCGCTTAACGGACTCATTTGGATCGTGCCGTTGGATGCCCTCCTACTTGGTGTAAAGCGAATGCAACGTGTCCCCAAAAAACTTTTTTTTTTATCGCGAAAATAAATTTTGCAATGCCAAACTTTTAACTTGCTTCCAAATGTAACGCTAACGGTTAGTTTTTAAGCTTTGGCATCTGGTGCAGATCGCTATAGGACTATATCTGGGGCGGCGAACGAACGTTCGGCGATTCGTAACTTAGTCTAAATGAAAAAAGAAATGAAAGCCGTTTACAATTTTCTGTAACGCCGGTGAGAGCGGAGCTCTTGAGGAGGTGGATGGAAGCGTACTGAGGAATAGGAGACTCCTTGAGGTCACGTGACCTGGGGGTCGTGTGACGTCAGGGGGGTCACGTGACCTCGGGGGAGGGGGGCACGTGACCTCAGGGGGGCCACGTGGCTTAAGGGGGGGTCACGGGACATCGGGGGGGGGGGGGCACGTGACCTTGGGGGGTCACGTGACCTCGCGGCTATGCCGTCGGCGACTCCGACGCCGCTCAAGTCAGAAACGGGCCCCCAAGAGCTGCGCTCTAAACAAAAACCGTAAATGTTTTGGGAAAACATGTTGTATAATTTCCAACAGCTTAAGAAGCAGAGGGCGTGACGAAGCTCGAGCATCTCATTATTGTTTAGCAGCCACTGAGATTGCTGCATCAGCAGACAACAATGAAGAACCAATCACGAGGCTAGGTGGCGCAAGCTACCGCCCGTTACAAAGGAAATAGCCATTTACATCCATCCATCCCCAACTCAACTCTGACGTCACGCCAATACGGTGACACGGCTGTCGCTACTGTGCAAGCGCAAACGCTTTCTCTCACGGATGGATGGATGAAGGCTAAGAGTCCTTCATAACGGGCGGTAGCTTGCGCGACCTAGACTAGAACTCGAACATAGTTCCTGCTCACGCGCACCACCCGATGTGGGCACACGTGGGTTTGTTTGTACGGAGTATCTCTCGATTCGGCACGAATATTACCTAATATGCCAATCGTACAAAGTATATTGCTTATTACTACTGCGGTAGTACACTATACATTTGTCCACCCCAACAAAGAACCAATTCAGTCGAAGCCGCGAAGCAACTGCACTGGCCTCGTGAAGTGGAATTCAGGCGTACTCGTAAAGTTGGGGTCGTGTTACGTTGAGGTCATTGCGTACACGCTCGCCACTTTTCGACGCTCGATTTCCGTCACGGCAATTTCCATCCACCAAAGTGGTCTATATATACACGCATCTATAGACTGAGGCACGCGTGAAAGCGCTTACGACCGACGCGTTCGCGAGCTCAAATCTGACGTTTCCGGGCATTTACGGCGCCCACTCAAAGTACATACCTGTCCGAAGGGTCCGAGCGAAAGCGGCGAAGAAACGAGTCCTCACAGCTGACCCCCAATCCCAGCAACACACTGCCGCCCCTCAATTCCCAAAAGAAAAAAAAAAGAAAAAGAAAAAAGCCACAAGCGTGGCCAAAGTGTGCTGTCTCCGTCGTTACTAAAACCTACCAGGGCGTCCGTTCCGTCTGCTTAGTGGACCGGCACCGAGAACGCACGCTATGAACCACCGTTTCCGGGTTGAAGGCGGCGTGGGGGCAACACTGGCGCCGCCACCACCGCAGCAAACTTTGTGTTTCCTTCCCGCTTCCGTAACGGAACGATCGAGAGAAACGTCTGCAAACAGACAAACGACGCGAGCAAACTTTCTAAAATAAGACCGAACGAACGGTCGGCAAGCCGATGACTATTCGACACAATACAACTGGACGCCTAGTGCTTGGGGTTTCGTGGTCTTGAAGCCGTCTTTATGAACTTTTAAAACTGTTGCGAGTAGCCGGTACGTCGAATAGTAATCGCTGAAAAAAAAAGTCATCTAATGCTAATTAATAACATTACCGATACAGCATAAGCCAGATTCTATGTACTCAGTGATTTTTATATATCGGTAATATTAGATGATACAAAAAGGAATTGACATGATGCATCACGCTGTTGGCACTCATACGAACAAATTTGAGAGCAAAAAAAAGAAAAAAAGAACATGAACTATGACTTATAAGTTATAACTTAGAAATGACCGCCACTTAGAAATTTCGACTAAACACAGAGGTTGGTTAATATTTTTTTTTTCCTTTCGATAGTGCAAAAAAAGCCTCTCACCCCCCCCCCCCCCCCCTTTCCCGAGGTGGGTGATTTAGAGGGGGGGGGGGAGGTAATTGGAGTTATAACTATACAAAGTTATAGAGCGCATTGAAACACTACGGCGTCCCCAAGTGCAATATAAAGCCAGAAGGCACTTGGAGTGACACGTTTTTTGTTTTTGTTTTCCTCTTCGCTTTCACACGTTCCGCTTCGACGAGATGCAAAGTTCTGTCGTTCCCAAACAGTCGATGACCACCAGAAGGCAACCGGCAAGCGACTCGGCCTTGCACGAGCGGAGGCCTTCAGCCGCTCAGCGCTGTTATCTCACACGCGAGGGAAATTTGCACGGAGAACGAGGCGGAATACGCAAAGGTGTGGGACCCCTCCGCCCAGTCTGCGCTGAGCCGCTTCGCAATCGAGGCTAACTTCTCATCGACAAAAGGAAACCAGATCGCGTGCATGGCTGGCAAGGCTACAAACTCTCCCCGTCTCTCTTTCTTGCGCGCGGGCTGAACATACTCTCGAACCTGTCGAGCGAAACAGATGTAAACTAAAAACCAGCTCTGCAACGGCATGCATATTCACCGGTTCGGGGATTAAGGTGCTGCCGCATACGGAAGGCCTTCTTAAGGGCAGTGGCGTCATAGTTCTCTGAAGACGACTATTTTGAAGTTTTCAACTTTCAAAGTATCAAGTTGCCGGCAAGCATCTCACCGAACACCGTCTTATCAGTTGTCGTGCTGCGATTACGTGGTTCAGAAGTTGTACGGGCTGAAGACTTGTATGATTTGCTTATATGAACTAATTAGCTTGTCGAAGTATACGTAAAATTTAACCTGACATAACGGTCATTGGCCACCCGCTGCTCTGAGGAATGGAAGGTCATTCATAATCGCAGAAACAACAGTTTGCAATCCCTCTATTATAACCTAGCCACGTTACTAAATCAATATTTCATAGATGGCGTTGACAAGTATAGTTTAGATCGCAAATCACAGTACCTATTTTTTGTATAATATGTCTTCTTTTATGTGAACCTTTTAAATAATATTTTTTATATATATATATACATTTAACTATTTCTTTTGTGTGTGTCTCTTACTATTTGCCAAGCACTGGGAGCCCGGACCTCATGAAGCCAACAAAGATTAGCTCTTTTGTTCGTGGCTCCAGTGTATGTTTATAACGATGGAAATACAATTATTTGATGATATGATATCGGTTATCCTATTATTAGGGCCCGTAATGTCGTAGGATATTGTAATATAATCCATGCTATGATTGTGAACTGGTCATTCTAGTACATGTGGTACCACTTTACAAGCTATTATTTATACTAGAATATGCGGCTTATAGCTGTAGATGAAAGGACGCTTTTCCAAATTTGGGTGACGACATCATGCCATGCTTTTTTACAAAGTGCTCTTTTGTTGGGATTCGAATCTTAGAGCTCCAGCTCTTTGGTTAAAAGGTTTTCGCACCACAATTTTATTACAAGCTACATGTAATTTTATGTGATCGTGATCTCTCGCTAGAGGGAGCTACAAAATGATACCACCGTAAAAATAACGTCGAGACCTCTCATATCATCCTCGAATATCCATTTGTTTTTTAGACAATGGTAGATAATTGTGGTGCTGAAAATTAGGGACATCATGGCGCAAGAGCAACGCTGGTATGAAAGCGCTAACGATGGGCTGTGGGCACTCTGGTGGCACAAAGCGTTCAATTGGGTTACCCGCACGTCAAACCATCTGAGGCCATCTACACCACGAGGCGGCCAAGTTCACGTAATCGGTAACGCAAGCGGCGCTCCGCCGCCGACAAAATGCTGGCGCAGAAATATGCCCAGGGAGTCGAGTGAGTTGCAGGCGAGCTTATGAATATTAACCTTGTTGGATTAACCTGAGACTAGGGTAGAGAAGAAACATCGAAACGGAGAGGAGGCAGAAAATAGACAGGAGTTTGAGACGTTGTCCTGTCTATTTTTTGTCTCTTCTACGTTTTAATGTTTCTTCTCTACCCCAGTTTTAGGTTAATCCAACATGGCCAACAGGGTAGACTTCCTAATTGTGAAAGACTTATTTTTCATCACATCGTTTCGTCCTTGTCCCACTCAAACCTAGTTGCTTGTCAAATTTAAGTTATATCCTTGTTTCTGATGTCACACGGCGGTGTCACTGACTCCAACGGGGCATGCCCAGATGCTTCGTTGCTTCAGAAACCGACGTCTGCGCATGTTCAATGTCGACACCTACATGGCCAAACTTATTTGTTTAAAAAAGGATGAGCTGAAGAAGTCTAGACGAAGTTCTGGAGTTCTTCGTGTGACCGGGGTCACAGATTGCCCTTCTCATATAGTTAGTTGACCAACGTGCTCGATATGTCCGGTCCACAGGGGAGCTGACACGGTCATGATGCGGTGAGGCCGGCTATCCAGGGGCGTGTCGAGTCACGCCGGACAAGACCAGGCGGACATGAAGACCGGACAGCCCAAGGACGCGCTCCTGTCCGACGAAGAGAACTCCTTCGATGAAGACGACGAAAGGACGCCGCTCAACGCGGCATACGCCAGGTATGTCGCCCTTCAACGTAAACGCACCTAAGGCTCTGCGGTCCAGTCAGCCAGTCAAGCCTCGCGGTAAACAGAAAACAAAACCGGTGGTTAACAAACGAATCTGGCATTTTCCAATGGTTGGCGACGTTAAGCGCTCGAAAATGAGCCTGCTGGGGACCTCAGAGTGGCAGCCAACGACTTAGCTTCGGACAGCTAACTATTATCGCTGAATGTAGGCCATGAGACTTCCAAGATGCTCGTTTTCGTGTTCTTCTTACCAGCTTCGACCACGTGCACGATTTTTATGAACGTACCATGATCGAAGACTGGTCGTATCCACTGGTAGGTATCAACAAAAACACCACGTGATAAGGTAAAAGACAAAATTCATTTACTCCGTTTTGTAACTGGATATGTGTTTAGGCTGTTCACCTCCAGATTCCGAGACATTTTTTGGTTTGTTTCGTTTTGCTTTAACGTTCTTCGTTCGTCCCGCGTGAGACACGGTTTTTCGCGTTGTGCCCTTGAACTCGCGGTGCCTCCTCTAGCTCACGCGTCGTCCCCGACTTTATGAAACATTGACCCTTTTCTGAGAGATGAAACGAATCAACATAATTAAGCAAATTCGTCCTTCGAGCGCTGCTAAGAAGCAACTGAATTGCTAAAGCACTGGACTAATCTCGTAGCTTGGCGTGTACATCTATACTGCAAACTTGGATCATGTATGCTTATGCTATTAACCTATATTTAAAGGTCATCATGCTGGTGTAAGCCATACAAAAAAAGGGTGAGAAGTTTTATTAATGTAAAAAGGATTCTGGACTCTAGCTTCTGCTGTTTTACCATATGCATGCCTATCAATAAGACAGTATAAATCCTTGTTGAATGCGGTTGGACTTCGTGCAGCGAAGAGTGCGTAACCTTTTGACGATGTTTAACTTTCGTGATAAAACATTTTCACCTCATGTATCCAGCACAAAAAGCAACGAAATAACCATCTACCTCAAAGTCAATATTCGATAGATCAATACCGATAATAAGTGAGACATACCAAAAACTAAGATGGAAGTCGTCAAGGCAAAATTACAAACATTAGAATAGAAGTGCCCGCGAACAATGGCGATCAACACGGATTTTTAGAAACACTACATCATTCTGCTTATGTGCACTGACTGCTATCACGACAACGCAAAGCCACGCAAGCATATTACGTGAGAACATGCGTTATATAAACACGAGACCCCGTTGACTCCTGCCTTCTGCACGCGCGCAGCTCAAACTGGTACGACAACTCTATACGCAGCACAGGCTGCTCAAGCCTCTGCTCCCATGTGCTTCCCCACCCCTTTTCTAAAGAACGTCCCCGTTTTGGCAAAACACCTCCCAAATAGCAAGGCCTATGTGCTCCATTGGTGACGTCATCAGCCGGAGGCCAGCGTGGCGCACCGATTAGACCCGAGCGCTGCGTCGTTGTCCTACTGCAGCCACTGTTCAGTCATTGGGTACACGAGCCCGAACCGAACTCTGACACAGTACTTGGGTTCATTCAGCGCCCGCGCTGGCCTTCCAGTAGCCTGACGCAGAAACTTCAGCACTACAGCCTGGTTTTCTAGGAGTTAATAAGAAACGTTACCAATACGCAAAATAAAAAAAAAAAAAAAAAAATGAAACACGCTTGGGCGAAAAATGACGTCGCCGTCGTTATCAATCCGAGAGCCACATTAGGTACTTATCGCGATTACCTTTCCGTGTGTTAGAATTCCTTATTCCAGGTCACGGCGTGATGCACGCTTGCAACACCGTGACGTCATAGAGGTTTGAAACAGATGAGAGTCCACTGACAGATATAGGTTGAAGCAACCGATTTCGGAATAAGCAATTTTCGAAGCCTAGTTTTTCGAACTTCGACAAGTTTGACAGCAAAATCAAATAGTGCCAATATGTTGTCGGGACAGGGGAAGCATAGAAATACCGCGTTCAAAAGAAGTTAGCTTCAAAACACGTTCCATTTCATTTCGCGCCCGAGAAAGACGCGCAGAAAATTGTTGGCTTCGCCGAGTGCTGACGTAATGGCACAAACATCTGCCCCTTCGCCATTTTTTTTTTGTTCGCTCAGACGTAAGAACAGAAAGACAGATACAAGCGCGCGCGCGCCCCCTACAAACCACTTCATCTTACCGGACGCTCTTGTCAGAAACGTTTAGGCATTACTCAAATCCGGTTGAAGCATAGGCACAATCGTGACTGCGTCTATAACTTGGCCAAAACAGCTCAAGCGTGAGTACAAATGACTACCTAAAAAAAAAAAAAAAAAGAGCCTCCGTCAATAACTGCATGGCGCGGTCACAATTACAGTGCACAACACACACACACAAACACAAAAAGGACCAGCAAGCATTGGAATGTGCTGTTTCTAAGCAATGTTTGTCCCGCTATATTCTTTTCACTCCTTTCCTCTTACAAGAAGCCAAAGCAACGAGCAGTCAGCCCGAATCACGTGCCTCTAAAGTGTCACGTGACCGAAGGTCTGTTTAAGCACAGATCTCCCCAGAGTGAGTCACGTGAGACATTAAAGGCTTGTGATTGGTGCAGGCGGCTTGTAGCTCCGGCTTCCAGTCCGAGGGAAGAGTGAACAAAGTATATAAAAAATAAACTGCATTACTTTGCGTGGCAAATCATGTTGTTCACCACTGACCTCACCCAGCTCGACGCTGACCTTGCTTCGCCCCGCTCCTCACCATTCTACAAACCCGAGCACTTTGCTTCTCCGGTTTCGGAAAGGCCCGCATTGTATTTCCATCGAGATTGACACGTACCAGCCCGAACAATTCACGCGTATAGAACTCGCGTCGACAAAACGAGCACTCTATAGGTGCACAGCTTTCGGAGAGCCTCGTCAGATGGCGCTGACGTCCGCCAGACAAGGCTTAAGTCTAACATACAAGTACATGCTATACAGGCAAAAATACACACTAGCTAGGTGGCGCAAGCAGCAGCCAGATTCAAAGGGTTCAGCGGTGCCCATCCATCCATCAAAATCTGTTGTTCGTGCGTTGAAGTTTATTTTGTCCGTGCACAACAGGCTTTCATGTTTCAGTGAGTCCGTGCGCATGCGTTCCTGTAGAATGCGTCTGTTCGAATGTTCAGTTGCGCGTGAGCGTATATTGATGACATAAACATAAAAGAACTCGCTCACGTATGAACAAAAGAAACTTGAACCCATGGACAGGTTTGATGGATGAACGAACACCGCCGAACCCTTTGAATCAGTCAACAACTCGCGCCACCTATAGACAATGCGTATTTTTACCGCTCGTACATAATGTTTTGTTTTCGTAATGCGTATGCTCGTCTGCTTTACGTTGTATACGAGCACGCCCGTCATACGAATGTCCGATTGCCTTTGTGACAGCGTTACGTCTCAATTCCTCTTAACCCGTCGCTGTCAACAAAAGAAAACCAGCCGACTTTCTGGACATCGGAATGTGCCGCGACTGGACACTGTTTGCACACGCATGTTTGTGGGCGCGCTCTGGCAAACCTTGACAGCAGTCCAGGCGGCGCAGAGGCTGCAGAAAGCGCAGTCGAGCTTGAGTCGGGGGAAACCCCAAAAGCGCCCACAAAATCGGCCGACGGAGAAGCCGAACGTGAAGACACGCTCTTCTCCTCCAACCGAACACGACGCGAGAGGTCGGATCGGAATGACCCGCCTGCATTCCAGCGACCTTCTTTCTCGGAAACAGGAAATTAATTCCTTTTTTATTCGTGACTTTTCTTTTTCTTTTTTTTTTAAGTTGGGGAGAGCAGACTGCTACTGGCTGACACAGCCCTTCGCGCGTCACTGGAGAAGGAGCTACGTAAAATACAAGTACAACGATTCCTCTAGATCAAAGAAAGAAATTGATTAAACTGAATAATTGGCAGGCAAAGAGGTGGTTGAAAATTAGGCAAAAAAAAAAAAAAGAGCCACTTGCTCTTTTTTCTCCAACAGGAAATTACTCTACAACAGAATTATATACTAGCTTGCGCAACAAAGTTACTGCGACCACGGTATCCGCTCTTTTTTTTTATATATTTTAATAACGCGGGGTAGTTCCCAACAGAACATGTTTGCGCCATCTAAGTATATTGCAACAAGTACATTTTACAACACAAGTATTTGTTTTCAGTTCCGAACAAAATACGAGCACATCCTGTTATCACCCGAAGATGCGTGAAAGGCGACAGATGCTACTACAGCTCGTGCGAGGCTAATACCGCCTATCGCAGGGCGTTTTTGGTGATCATGACCAAAAAAAAAAAAAGGCTAAGCTTTAGGAAGTAGACGAGGCATTTTCTAAGAACACGCAGTTTTGAGCAAGTGCTAATTACATTTCAGGCAACCCGCCCTTTCAATGAAGGCGTATTCGCATTTCGGGTTAAACACTACATAAATTATCATAACGGTCTGTCGCTCCCAAGGCAAACGTATGGGCGGCGAAAACATTCTATAGTCACGCCTTTTCTTATTCTGACGGGAAAAACACTTGAAAAGAAAAAAGCGCAAAAGCGGGCTCGTGGTAACCTTGCGAGGAAGTAATATAAAAGGAAACAAAAATGTAAGAAAATAACTCACGCACCGATATCCCGCACAGCAAGGCGTTCTATAGCTGTATGAAAGACATTTTCACATTCTAAGCATTGAAAGGTATGTACTCAAAAGACGTCCGTTAAAAAAAAGAATAGTAATATAAAACCGTGTGGACTGGAAAACAAGTTTTCTTCACGCGAATAGCTATTCCCGAGTTCGCAGCCATACAAAAACGATACGATTTTCAATACAGCGAACGACTTAATTTTCGCCAGAACCTAATTTTCGCGAATTTCGCGAACACACACACACGAAAGAAAAAGTCCCCTATACTTCGCATGACCGTGAAATCCAAGCGCAACTGACCCTACGAGCCGATGGGCTCGGTGGCGCAGGCTACCGCCCGTTACAAAGGGCATAGCCACACTAACATTCATCCATCCATCCC